TGACGGTCCACAACACTGGTGAGTGTGACGGTCCCCAACACTGGTGAGTGTGACGGTCCACAACACTGGTGAGTGTGACGGTCCACAACACTGGTGAGTGTGACGGTCCACAACACTGGTGAGTGTGACGGTCCACAACACTGGTGAGTGTGACGGTCCACAACACTGGTGAGTGTGACGGTCCACAACACTGGTGAGTGTGACGGTCCCCAACACTGGTGAGTGTGACGGTCCACAACACTGGTGAGTGTGACGGTCCACAACACTGGTGAGTGTGACGGTCCACAACACTGGTGAGTGTGACGGTCCACAACACTGGTGAGTGTGACGGTCCACAACACTGGTGAGTGTGACGGTCCACAACACTGGTGAGTGTGACGGTCCCCAACACTGGTGAGTGTGACGGTCCACAACACTGGTGAGTGTGACGGTCCCCAACACTGGTGAGTGTGACGGTCCCCAACACTGGTGAGTGTGACGGTCCCCAACACTGGTGAGTGTGACGGTCCCCAACACTGGTGAGTGTGACGGTCCACAACACTGGTGAGTGTGACGGTCCACAACACTGGTGAGTGTGACGGTCCCCAACACTGGTGAGTGTGACGGTCCCCAACACTGGTGAGTGTGACGGTCCCCAACACTGGTGAGTGTGACGGTCCCCAACACTGGTGAGTGTGACGGTCCACAACACTGGTGAGTGTGACGGTCCACAACACTGGTGAGTGTGACGGTCCACAACACTGGTGATTGTGACGGTCCACAACACTGGTGAGTGTGACGGTCCACAACACTGGTGAGTGTGACGGTCCACAACACTGGTGAGTGTGACGGTCCACAACACTGGTGAGTGTGACGGTCCACAACACTGGTGAGTGTGACGGTCCCCAACATTGGTGAGTGTGACGGTCCCCAACACTGGTGAGTGTGACGGTCCACAACACTGGTGAGTGTGACGGTCCCCAACACTGGTGAGTGTGACGGTCCCCAACACTGGTGAGTGTGACGGTCCCCAACACTGGCGAGTGTGACGGTCCCCAACACTGGTGAGTGTGACGGTCCACAACACTGGTGAGTGTGACGGTCCACAACACTGGTGAGTGTGACGGTCCACAACACTGGTGAGTGTGACGGTCCCCAACACTGGTGAGTGTGACGGTCCACAACACTGGTGAGTGTGACGGTACACAACACTGGTGAGTGTGACGGTCCACAACACTGGTGAGTGTGACGGTCCACAACACTGGTGAGTGTGACGGTCCACAACACTGGTGAGTGTGACGGTCCACAACACTGGTGAGTGTGACGGTCCCCAACACTGGTGAGTGTGACGGTCCACAACACTGGTGAGTGTGACGGTCCACAACACTGGTGAGTGTGACGGTCCACAATACTGGTGAGTGTGACGGTCCACAACACTGGTGAGTGTGACGGACCACAACACTGGTGAGTGTGACGGTCCACAACACTGGTGAGTGTGACGGTCCACAACACTGGTGAGTGTGACGGACCACAACACTGGTGAGTGTGACGGTCCACAAGAGCACCTAAAAAATACTACAAAAAACAGGAGGAATATACCCGAGCAGGAGATGTTGAGGCGGGGCTGGGGAGCTAAGGCTCGACCCGCTCCCACACACGCAAAAGAAAACTTAAATAAAAAAAAATCCAATAAAAATTAACTTCGTTTTTTGCCAATGTTTTATGACATTCAAAAATTACATCCTAGTTAAATCTTTCTCTATAAGACTCCAACATCAAATACGAGAAAAAATTAAAATCGAGAGGAAGCAGCACTGACAGCAGCAGAACTGACAGCAGCAGAACTGACAGCAGCAGCACTGACAGCAGCAGAACTGACAGCAGCAGAACTGACAGGAGCAGAACTGACAGCAGCAGAACTGACAGCAGCAGAACTGACAGCAGCAGCACTGACAGGAGCAGAACTGACAGGAGCAGAACTGACAGCAGCAGAACTGACAGCAGCAGCACTGACAGGAGCAGAACTGACAGGAGCAGAACTGACAGCAGCAGAACTGACAGCAGCAGAACTGACAGGGGCAGAACTGACAGCAGCAGAACTGACAGGGGCAGAACTGACAGGAGCAGAACTGACAGCAGCAGAACTGACAGGAGCAGAACTGACAGGAGCAGAACTGACAGGAGCAGAACTGACAGGAGCAGAACTGACAGCAGCAGAACTGACAGCAGCAGAACTGACAGGGGCAGAACTGACAGGAGCAGAACTGACAGGAGCAGAACTGACAGGAGCAGAACTGACAGAAGCAGAACTGACAGAAGCAAAACTGACTGAAGCAGAACTGACAGGAGTAGAACTGACAGGAGCAGAACTGACAGGAGCAGAACTGACAGGAGCAGAACTGACAGGAGCAGAACTGACAGGAGCAGAACTGACAGCGGCAGAACTGACAGGGGCAGAACTGACAGGAGCAGAACTGACAGGAGCAGAACTGACAGGAGCAGAACTGACAGGAGCAGAACT